ACACACCATAAACCATGTTTGGAAGCTTCAATCTATTGTGCATTTTCCTTTGCATCTAAATTTTCTATATCAGTCAATTAGCCTAGCGTGCTGAGCAGCTTGCAACTCTTTTTAAAAAGTCATCAAAAAATAGCATGCCATTTGGTAATCTACTAGCCACCAGGGTGGTATCTACCGTAACCCAAGAATAAGTATTGAAATGCCCACAGTGTAGCATAAATCAATATAAAAGCTGCACAAAAAAATCCAGATAATTGAAGAAATAATTTGTTTGAACATCTAAATTGTACCAAAACCTAATTCTGCTTGCACAATAAAATTGGCTTATGCCAGGTTTGGCCATGCCTTTACATTGATCAGCTTTCTTAATTCACACAATACTTTGAACAATTAATTAATTATATGAATTAAGTTCTAGAAGCTACAAATATTGGTTAAGGATATTATGGTTACTTGGGTCCCAGAAATCAACTCATAATACTACTTTTTTTTATGCAACGGCTTGATTTATGCATTCTCATTCATTCTCATGATGCTTTCACCGTTCAGTTCCATTCCTAGTTCCGTTTGATTGGATTCCTGCAAGTGAATTAAAAATGGGGAAACCTGTATGTATTAGACACCCCAGCAAACATATGCCAAGTGTACAGATGAATCAAACGGAGTTGAACACCTTCCTTTTCTCCTGTCATCTTAAACAAGAATATTATATTGTTTTGGTAAAGCAAAAGCGCCTACGTTAAAAAAAACAAAACAGACACAATAATTCTGCTGTAGAAGACGGGCTTCTGAGTCTGTCACTATGCTTTTTACAGTTTTATGAATTACAGCTTATTTCTACCTAGGGCTGTGATCCTAGGCCGTTTCACAGCCTTAAATAAGCAGGAATGATTCATGTTCCATGATCTTATTTTTTTTTTCTTCCTCCAGCCACAATATTAAATGAAAGAGAACAAAGTTCTCCCCATTTCCGATACGCGTGAGAGTCACACACAGAGAAACACACAAGGGAAATTCCGTGCGTTGGCAATGAATGAAAGAACCAAAATTCAATTAGGTTCAATAAAGATCTCCATGAAATAACAAGAGGAGTGAAGAAACAGACCATCCCGTTGGGCTTGATGACAAAACAGACATAGTTCTCAATATACTATATAAAAAATCTGGAAAGTAGATGAATGGGAAAAATAATGTTAGGAACAAATCATAATATGTCAGGTAAAAAAAAAATTATTTTCTTTTCATTCTGGCTGCTATTTTTGTTTTATAAGAATTCTCCAAGTTCACCAAAAATAATTAACATAAAATAAAAATAATACAATAAAATAGAAATAGAAGAAAATGAGATGAATAGACCCATGGTTCCTAAAAAAGTCTCTAGAATGTAAGTGAAAAAGTTTCTTGAGATAAGAAGGGTGGCCAATAAATTTTACAAACAAACAAATAAATAAGCAAGAAAGGATACTCTAGCGCAGGGGTAGGCAACCTTGGCTCGTTTATGACTCGTGGACTTCAACTCCCAGAATTCCTGAGCCAGCCATGCTGGCTGAGGAATTCTGGGAATTGAAGTCCACAAATCATAAACGAACCAAGGTTGCCTACCCCTGCGCTAGAAGAAAAACTTCATTCACACAATCATCAGGTCAGTCCTAAAATGAGTTCATTTATTGCATTCATTTGTTTGCTTTCTGCCTCACTCAATAAGGGACTCTGGGTGACTTACAATTCTAAAACATAGAATTAAAACAATTAAAAAACTATAAAAGAGTAAAATGGTTATTACTGTCACATGATTGTTTTGGGGTTGTCCAAAAGATTTAAATACAGTGGATTAATTTCTGTGATACAAGCTTATATAAAAAAAAGCTGTACCAGTTAATAGCTTACTATTGGACCAAGTTTAAGACTTATTTGTTGATTTATCTATGTCCTACATGGAATGAAGGTTTGAGAAATAATGCCATAGTTTATAGGGTGGCCAAACTATTTGGGTCATCAACAGGGAACTTCCAGGTAGGGCCAAATCTTTAGAATATATTGTTGACATTTGTTATGTGAAAGCAACCAGAGCCACTCCTAAAGTAAGCAACTTTATTGTTCTTGACCTAAGATAGAAGAATCTCCCCAGACTTCCTCTGGGAATGACCAGATATTCATGGAACTTGGGGAAAGTCAAGCTTATGTTTCTTGTGGCTACACAAGGACTCTAAGCTATGTACTCACTTGATCCCTCCTTCCAGCCTATCTGGCAGTTTCCCAACATTAATCAAGAAGACGACAGTGACGTTGTGTAAAAATTTCCACTAGCACTATAAACAACTGTTTGCTAAAAACATGCTTATTGACCTTGGCACTCATTTCATTATGGGAGGATGGCATTACTTATGTTCTTCTGATCTATTCTAGTATTGTGACATCTAAAATGATAAATTAATTTGTGTGAGCGTCCCTCGATGAATAAAACTAATTATTTCATTAGGTTCAGTGTTGGAGAAGATAAATATACAAATATACCACTATTAATAATTGCTTCTTAATTTCTCTGTCAGATAAAATGATGCAGCCATCTTGTAAATTTATCAAATAAAACATTTTCAGTGGAAATGTACAACACAGCCATCAAAACATAAAAAAAAAAATACTGGGAGGATGAAATTGATTAGTGGCAAATTGTTCCAGAAATCAAGTTTATTTGGAAAGAGAGGACCATTTCTGTTGTTCAATCCATATTCCACTCAGACTATTATTTGCTGTTTATAACAGCAAATCTTGATTTTGATGTCAACTGGCTGAGCTAGGGAAGAGCCAAATCTTGTAGCAATCCAACTTTATATATGCAAGTCCCTCTCCCAGAAAGTGCAACCCTTATCAAATTTATTTGCAACCACATGGAAGCTCACGATTCCCCCCCATAAGTGCTTTACATATTTTAGAACTTTTTCAATATGATCTAAAAAGTACTTTAACATAGTAGATGTCAAGTTCAATCAATGGATGGAATATACTATCCCAACTTGGTAGATTTATCTGAATGGGAGGACAAGAATGCAAAGGATGTCAACAAACATCCATCATCAACAAGCATTGTAGGAACTACAAGTCTCTTTTGAGAAGTAGAGCAGATCAAGTATGAAATCAGTAAGTGCATAAGTTCTGAATTAATCTTTCCTCTTGCTCAGGAGTTACCATATGTATCTAACATTTGCTGGAATATTGATTGATTGATTGATTCATTCATTCATTCATTCATTCATTCATTCATTCATCTGTTCATTCGTTCATTCAATTTCTATAACTGCCCATCTCAATCAATGACTCTAGGCAGCTTACAATTCAAAACATATATTACAATTAAAACAATAAAAACATTTCAAAACAATGGAAACAGTTAAAACAAAACAAAAAATCCAAAATAAATACACACAGCAGTTGAAGTACCCATGTTTTCCTGAAAACAAGACCAGGCTTTATATTAATTTTTGCTCCAAGAGGCGCATTAGGACTTATATTTGGGGAAATTTGGTACCAAATGTGTCTGTCTGGCTGATGATCTTAACTGGGGCTTATTTTTGGGGTGGGTCTTATTGGGGAAAACAGGGTATGTGGCCAGTTAACAATAAAGTCAAGGTTGTTTTTCAAGGAGAGACACAAAGCCGGGACTACTGCTGAACATCTCTCTTCTCATCCTTGCTGATGCTCTTTGGCTAATGGGATCTGCAGCATGCCCAGCGTGCTATAGATCAAATTGGATGGGTAGAGCCCCTTGGAAAAAGTAATTTGGCCCCATGTCATGTACAGATGACAACCAACATCTTGAATTGTACCTCAGAAACACACTGGTAACCAATGCAGCTCACATATTCCATATTATCTGTCCACTGTAAATATGTAAACCAGGGCTAGTCAACCTTGGCTCTTTTATGACTCGTGAATTTCAACTCCCAGAATTCCTGAGCCAACTGTGCTGGCTCAGGAATTCTGGGAGTTGAAGTCCACGAGTCATAAAAGAGCCAAGGTTGACTACCCCTGACGTAAACCAATGGCAGACACCTCCTTCTGATTCTAACTCTTTAGATTTGCTGAAAGGGTTGAACTGAAATATATTATTTGGCTGTATATCTGCCATTATTTACCATCCACGCAGCTGCGTTCTGCTCCAGGTGAAGTTTGCAAATATGATAATATGGTTAGGGTAGTTTCTATCTTTCCTCCTTCTTGTCTCTGTAGGTACCTGATTGCATCTGACAATTGTCTGTGTATGTGTGCGTTTCTGTGTTTACTTTAATTCAGAAATGTTTTAACAAATATAATTTAGTACAATTTAATACAGTGCAATCTATCTTATTTAAGCCTTCCTAACTTTGGATGTAATCAGTTATAATTATGACATGGTAGATTTGCTTCTTATTAATTTAATAATCATCCCAGGGAAGTATGTTTATATTGAAGCTTTGGAACATAAATCATATATATTTTTTCTGTTTTTAAATGATACTGTATTGTCTGAAAAAGACAGCTGCGGAGAGTGGAAGTATAAAATATAGAATACTACATTTAGTATTCCTTGATCACCACTTTATCCCCATACTCCCAATTTGACGAAAATAATTTTCTTAGCCTTGGTGTCACACCAACTTTGTAATCATAAGAACAGGTTTTGTCAAAAGAGCAGAAGCCACCCTAAGCAAACCAAAAGCTCTCTTTAATTATCCTTCTTTCTTTTAATGCTGCATTGCAAAACATGCATATCATTCATAAAGACAAGGAAAAAAAAATGTTCCTAAACTTTAAACAAGAACAAAACAACACAAGCTACCAACAACTACATTTAGACACCTCTGATCAATGCAGAGAATGTAACATTCCGAGGAATATTTAAGTCCTTCTCTTGCATAAATACAAGCAAGAACAACTGACACATTCTATTGACACACCTGCACCAATGATATACAACAAACCATATCCTCATTGCAGAGAAGCATGCATATTATTACACTTACCCTTAATTGACCCCTTTCACAATTCATCTGTTGTCTTGAGATCTACAAGGAATTTCGGAGAAAGAGAGAGAGAGAGAGAAAAAAAAAAAGGATTAGCAAGGAATGCTGTTGTAAGAAGATAATTTATGAGCAATGTTGACAAGGCTGACTGTGTAATATGGAGGGAGAAACAAACCTGGAAATAAGGAGATAGGATTCTAAGAAACAATCTGGCCTAAACCAGAATGAAGAATCTTTGAGCAGACATTGAGCAGACATCTAGAACAGGGGTCTCCAACTTGTGGGCCACAGCCACAGTGAAAACAGGGCTGGGCTAGCAAGCCTCATGCGGGTGCTAGTTCCACCCCGTTTGCATCACATGGGTGCTAGCTCTGCCCTGTTTGCAGCCTGCACATGCTCACAGCCCTATTTGCATATGCACACATGTAAAATGCTTTCCGCTCCCCTTCCCTCTCGTCCACCGAGAAAGGTTGGGGATCTCTTATCTAGAATATATACCCTCATGTTTGAACATTTAGAGGAGGTACAAGGATTTTTTTTAATACAATCATTTATTTGATTCGATTTCTATACCTGTCCATCACAAAAACTGACCCTGGATGGCATATGTCGTAATACAATTAAAAACAATTGCAACAATATGCCACACAATTAATTGCAACACAAACAATTGCAACAATATGCCACACAATTAATCAGTGGAACAACTTGCCTCCAGAAGTTGTGGATGCTCCAACATTGGAAGTTTTTAAGAAGAGATTGGACAGCCATTGGTGTGAAATGGTATAGGGTTACCTGCCTGAGCAGGGGGTTGGACTAGATGACTTCCAAGGTCCCTTCCAACTCTGTTATTCTATTCTATTCTATTCTATCTGAAAGTTACCAAAGTTGAGAAGATCTGGCTCAGGAATTCTGGGAGCTGAAGTCCATGCATCTTAGAACACAAGGAGAAAATCACACCTTCCATCATGTCCCCTTCAACATCTTAACAGAAAAATAGAGTTGGAAGGCATCATAGAGATCTTCTAGCCAACCCCTTGCTCAAGCAGGACACCCCCACACCATTTCAGACAAATGGTTGTCCAGTCTTTTTTTTTTTTTTTGAAAGCCTACACAGTTTCTGAATCAAGCTATTACATTGGTTGATTGCTCTAACGGTTAGGAATTTTCTCCTTAGTTCTAGTTTGTGTCTCTCCTTGGTTAGCTTCCATTCATTCTTGTCTTGCCTTTTGGTGATTTGGAAAATAGTTGAACCCTCTCTTCCATGTAGGAGCCCCTCAAACATTGGAACACTGCTTTCATGCCATTGCTATCTAGTCCTTCTTTTCATTTGACTAGAGACATATCCAATTCCTGCAACTATTCTTCATATGTTTTAGCCTCCAGCCCCTTAATCATCTTTGTTGCTCTTTTTTGCACTCTTTCCAGAATCTGAATATCTTTTTTATATTGTGATTACCAGAACTGGACGTAATATTCCATGTGATCTTACTAAGGATTGGTAAAGCAGTACTAATACTAGAACAGTCTCAAAGTCGCAAAGTTGAGAAACGCTGTTCTAGATCTTTTTGGAGAAAACATGTGTTGTCCAGAGAAGGAGATTCAGACTAGCCAGACTCATGAGATATAAGCGGGAAGGAAGAGAAGATAGGAGCAAATGTTCAAAGCTATATAGAAAAAAAAATGGCATCAACAATGCACAGCTAAGTAAATGATCTTCATTTCTTAATTATGTTGCTTTAATTCTTCTGCAAAGTCCTTCTCCCCTTAATTTAATCTTAGATTAAAGAAAGTAAAGACATTAAAGAAAGTGAAGAGCCAACAAATAGTAACTTTCTTGTAAAATATGGGATATCATGAATGATGCCTCCAAGAGATAAATTTCTTAGGTATCTTCATGCAAGCAATGATCTTGTGAGTAGGTCTTAACCATCCACAAAGTGTCAGGAGAAGCAAGAGACATACAGACCAGGAGAGAAAAAAGATAAAAACTGTTCCAGTTCAAATGGTAGAGTTTGGTGGGGGTGATGGAGGAAAGGAAAGTTATGGATTATCTGTCATCACTTACGGTTCCCACTGACTAGCCATGTGGTAAACAAGAACATCTTCCTTTTCAAAAATCAACCACAAAAGATGACCTGGGCCTCACAAATCGGTTTATAGATCTACCAAAGCTCACCACAAAATGAATAAAAAAATCCTTCAATGTTATCAGGCCAGAATGTCAACTCTATACACGCACAAACACACATACTATTGTTTTTGAAACCTGTGATCCAAGAAATATCTTAAGAAGACTCCAAGATTCTTGAGTCCTGTTGACAATTCCTTTTGGGATGATCCTAACACTAGAAACTGTAGCTAGACAACAGTTTTGTTTGAAGTCTACACGCAAGTGGCCTATACACTGTGCATAGTTAATATGTTTTTTCCAGAAGTACCAATTGAAGAAAACGTTTCTGTAGAGTACAAACTCTACCATTTGTATTCAAGGAAGGAAGGAAGGAAGGAAGGAAGGAAGGAAGGAAGGAAGGAAGGAAGGAAGGAAGGAAGGAAGGAAGGAAGGAAGGAAGGAAGGAAGGAAGGAAGGAAGGGGAAAAAGGACTCTACAAGCCCTAGAAATTAATGATTCTTTTGTGTTTTCAATCTGACAACGTTGATAAAGTCTTCTTTCTTTACAGCCACAGGGGAAAACTGGGTATAATTTAGAATATAAAACTGATTTATATAAGGAGAATATCTGAAACCACAAAATATGTTGTACAAATGGAACATGCATCTAGAATTTGGAAAATGCCAATAATAAAAATGCCAAAGTTCTTTAGTACATAATTTGATTTTGGGGGAAAAAATGGGCTAGTATTTCTGTTATCCTGGCAATACATTTATACTATTTGGGAAGTCCTTGGTAGATTGCTATTGGTACTCTTAGGTTTCAATCTAAAGATGGATGGAATTTTTGCTTAATTAGTTCTTTTCAAGAACTTAACCCAACTTACTTATTTAGCATTTTTAGACCATCCATCTCTGTCAAGGAGGGCCTCTGGGTGGTGTACACTGTTATACATAGTATAATATCATCATACAAAAAGGATATAGAATTAAAAATAAAATATTAAAATGTATTTAAGATAAAATATTTTGAAATAATAAAACAATTTCAAAGAGACAAGAAAGTTCAATAAGGCAATTTAACCCCATTAAAATTGGTTAATAAAGTCAGAGGGAGGTCTCTTGTGGCACATTTCTTTATATAGGGAATGAAAGAAGTTGACATTGACAAAAACCAAGTCAAAAATATTAATAAATAAAAGATATTGTTTTAGGTCTTGAAGGCTTTTGAATGTTTGTCCTTAAAATATTGCCTTGGAAATCTTGCGTGCTCAGCCAAACAAAGGGACTTTGTCCCCAGAAAACATTTTGTGAAAGATATGAATTATGTGCTTATAATGCAATATTGAAAGAAACCAATGGCACACAAAGCTATAGTTAAAATCTTTTTCAACAGAGGGACTTGAAAGATGAAGTTTGAGCTTGAAAGCCTTCAGGTGCTTTCTCTTCATAACTCCAAATAGTCTTGTGTCTATGTTGAGGAAAATACACTCCCTTCTTCTTTTCAAAATGACATGTTGGTGCTGGTTACACTGAAAGCCAGTGCTTAAAGATCTACCAGACCAGGAATGGCTTTGAAGGCACATCTCATCATTCAGTGATGAAGTGGCTGGTTTATTTCCCAGAAGAAATCTTGAAGGACTCCAGCAACAAGCTGTAAAAAGATGATGACTACCTTCCAAGAAAATCTTTCTTTATATATATTCGTATATATATATATTTACAACTGTTGGACTTCCAAATGTCACCTATTTCACATACAACATGTTAGAAGTAGGACTAATACAGAAAGTTGGGTTCTATTGATGACTTCAAGTTGAATGTAAGAATTGTAGATGTGCATTTTTCACAATGACAATCAATAAATGTATTACATAAAAAACAAAAAAAGATATGTTAATTTGAATTAGTGGAGAATCTAGTATCTGCTGTTAAACACTATAAAGAAGAAAAGAAAAAGAAATGAACAGCCAGGAATCAATTTGATATTGAACTAGAAACATCCCATCTCATGTTGATTTTTTTGTGATTATCCTGAAGATTGCTATGTAGTATTCTATGTGAACATATGATATATTGTTTTCTATTATATTATCTAGACTACTTTACTCCATTGAATTAAGTTCTACTCTGGTGATATTATGGACACAAGAACATATTTTATTTTTTAACTTTTGGTTAAACCTTTTGTTGACCTCTTGATACTTACCCATCCATACACAAATCAGTTCTGAAACCTGGTTATGTTTTCAAGATTATCCTTATTAATTAGTGGTTGCCACCTAAGCTCAACATATATTGTATATGCATTCAGATCTCAACATTCAGAAAGAATTCAGAATCTGTCATCTCCGTTTCTTTTTTTTTTTATATTGAAATTTTTTTTTCCATTTAAACATTATAAAAATACAATACAATTTTAATTTTAAATAATCTAAATAAATCTCCGTTTCTTAATATTAACATATTCTTCTTTATTAAGGATTTTCTTTCTCCCTTTTGATAGATTCTTATCCACATATAAATATTTATAAAATTAAGGAAGTTCTCCAAGTAGCTTCATCAACTTCCCTACAGGGAAGATTCGGGGGTGTGCTTAACTTGTTTCTCAATGCTTCATACAAGCCTGATAAGTAGCTTGTAGAAGAAGAAAAAAAATAAAACTAAGCATTACAGAATGCAATGGAATGAATAGGCATTAAAAAAATGACTAAGCAATCAAAACACTAATGAAAATTTTGTATTCACAATACCAACACTATAGAAGCTCAGATTCCCAATAAAAAAGAGTGTGCAAATACAGTGTATCATCTTGGACACCATGCTTATTTTGGCCATTTTCTTGCAAATATTTGTAATGAAAAGTCTTCTTTAATTAATGAAATATAGTTTTGAATTCTAATCTCCCAAATCTTGAATTATAGAACCAT